TCTCTCTCTCTCTCTCTCTCTCTCTCTCTCTCTCTCTCTCTCTCTCTCTTATATATATGTATGACATACGTACGTTCGGTGATCCGTACGCAGCGCTTCTTCGTCAAGCGCTCGAACTTCTGCCTCGGCAAAGCGGAGAGAGAGAGAGAGAGAGAGAGAGAGAGAGAGAGAGAGAGAGAGAGAGAGAGAGAGAGAGAAAAAAAGTTGTTGTTTTTCTTCGACTTCTTCGTCTTCTTCTTCCGCTTCTTCTTCTTCTTCTTCTTGGACTTCCTCTTCTTCTTCACTTTTTTCTTCGTTTGCAGCCGCCTCCACCGCTTCGTCGGCGCTTCTCCTTCCTCGTCGCCTCTTCTTCTTTATCTTCTTCTTCTTCTTCTTCTTCTTCTTCTTCTTCTTCTTCTTCTTCTTCTTGACCGTTTTTTTCTTCGTCTGCGCGGCCAACACCGCTTCGTCATCCCGGGCCTTTTTCTTCCACGCCGCCTCGTCTTCTTCTTCTTCTTCTTCTTCTTCGCCAGCGCTTTTTTCTTCGGTTGCAGCGGTCGGCACCGCTTCGTCGGCGCTTCTCCTTCCTCGTCGCCTTTCTTCTTCTTCTTCTTCTTCTTCTTCTTCTTCTTCGCCGCTTTTTTCTTCGTCTGCGCGTCCAGCACCGCTTCGTCACCCCGGGTCTTTTTCTTCCTTGCCGCCTCGTCTTGTTCTTCTTCTTCTTCTTCTTCTTCTTTAATCTTCTTATTCTCCTTCTTCACACACACACACACACACACACACACACACACACACACACACACACACACACACACACACACACACACACACACACGCGCACACGCACACACACAAACACATAGAGAGAGAGAGAGAGAGATGGCGGTTGAAAGCAGCGCGGCGTCTCCGACGGTGGCAGCTGGCGAAGGGGGGCCATCTGGCACTCCGCAGGCCACCACTTCACCTCACCCCCAACCACCTTCGTCATCGTCTTCGTCACCGACGATTGGCGAGGGGGGCGCAGGTGTCGAGGAGGGGCAGTCCACGGCGGACACGCAATCACAAGGAGAAGGAGGATGGGGCCACCTTCCGCGAGATATGTCCGAGCGAAATGGGGGTTGGGGGGGCGATCCTTCACGCAGTCAGTACGGGTGGGCGGCCATAACTGAGATGTACGGAGATCCAAACCTTTGGCCATACCCTCGCCCCCCCCAACGGATACCTTATGTCGCCGCCGACGAGCGATGACGAAGGGGGGGGCGGTGGCGATGACGTAGGGGAGGTTGGCGGGCATAGTGGCGACGAAGGAGGAGTGGGTGCTGGCGGCGAGGACGGTTTTTTCTAGTCGCCTTCAGTTTGTCCGTTTAGGGTTATATTCTTTATTTTTTTTTAGATGTTTTATCTTTCCTCCTTCGTTTCTTTCATCAGTACGCTATGCCTTCATAGCGTGCAGGGTGGGCGAATAAGGTGTCCACACCGTAGTCGGCATGAGGTCATCAACGGACCGCAGTCATTGCTGCCACGTGGCTTTCACATTCGGGCCATGTTGTTTTCATTGTTGTCAGTCTGTGTACTTTCTTTGTGCTCCAATAAATGGTAGTGTGAGTTCGTAATCATAATGGATATGTCGGCGGATTCTTTTTGTGTGTTTGTGTGTTTCTTAGTTTGGTTTTAATTTCTTTTTATTTCTTTTTTTGTCTTCTTGATTCTTCTTTAGTTTTTTTAGGGTTTCGTTTCTGTGCTTGCACTTCACCCCGTGCGAAAGACGGGGATGGAGGGGGGGTGGCGGACCGTAGCATTTCTTCTCATCCATGTGCCTGCCGTTTTTCTTATCTTACTTCGTGTTCGCCTTTCGGTTCAGACACACAGCGTGACAATACACGAAGGAACAAGAAGAGGAAAAAAAAAAAAAACAGAAAAAAAAAAATGAACAAACTGGTTTCTGTACAAAGAATATATTGATTGGTGGGATTGCTTATATGCTTTGTGTCAATCGGATTGTCTGTGGGATGTGTCATTCCCTTTGTTTTACAGATAGGCTTTCTTTCCCAACGTGAGGTTTGGTTTCCTCCTCTTTTTCTTTACCTCTTTGCCTTTTGGTTGCATGCAAGTGGGTCCTTGTGACACCCGGGGATGAGGGTAGCCAGCGCTCTACCTGTCCTCCACGTGGCTCGCCTTGTACGTTAGAGGTCACGAATACGTGGGGCTTTCCTTCCCTGGATTGTTTTCGTTTTGTTGTTTTGTCATTTTCGGAATTTGCGCTCTAATATATATATATATATATATATATAGGGTTCAGCCTGATGAGTCGGTGAAACTCTGACGAAACAGTTTGTCACAGCCCCTCGTTTGTTGTCCTCTTCTCCCTCTCTGCCTACGGTTTACCGGGCAGTTCT